ATATTCCAAGAGACACTATGAGTGCCGCATTGGAATTTATTTATTTTTTAGAAATGTAGAGTGACGAAATTTTTCTTTTATTTTGACGAAACTCATTTCCTCGAAGAAGTGCCGATATTTATTTCGTTACTTTGACAAAATCTTTGCTCAGAGCATATACCAGGAAACGATTTCAACGAAAATGAAGAAAATTTCGTGATATTTGAGAATCCATTTTTTACAGTGTTTAAATGAAAACACCTAGATTAAAGCATAGTATAAAGTTATTTTAAAAGTTTTATTAAGCTTTTTATTTGATAACATAAATTAAACGCATCTTTTGTTAATGTTCTTAAAGGGTATTCCCTGTACTCAAAAAGTTGCGTTAGTATTTTTTTTTTAATTTAGGAAGTGTAGTTTTAGGATATACTTACCTAGTGCCCTTTAAAATTATGCATTGATAAAAGTATTAAACTTGTTTCAAAACGTGAATTAAGCATTTATCTTACTAAGAAAATAACTTAGAATTCGTTATACACCGTCAAATAGTCTTTCTTTCCTCATATTTTTACCTAAAAAGCATAAAATGGGTACATGTGTACCCAATCTCCATCTTAAAGAATAAATTAAGGAATATTTTCAAATATTTAAAAATTTCACTCTAAATACTTAAGATCATATTAGTAATAGAAATTTAAAATTGTAGACCAGATTGTAGAAATTTTATACTGCTGTTATGCGCAGCATTATTTAATTGTTTATTTTAATTGAAAAAAACTGAGTGCATTAGTATTCACCGAAAATTTGATGCTAGTTTTAAATTAAAATTCACTAATGCTACGAATACGGACAATCAAAATATTTTCAGTTCTTAATGTATAAGAGCGAATATTAGTTACGTTAGATAGCTGTTAACTTTTTTTTTAATATTTTGGATAAGACAAAAATTTGTTAATATACCTTATTTTCTCTTGGAAATAAAACTTAGAAATTAATGAAATTTCAATTTTATAGCTGAAAGTTTCTATTACTGCTTTTCTTAACTATTACTACTTATAAATTAATTTTTAACTGCAAACTTTGCTTATTTTAGATTAACAATGTAAAACTAACATTAAGAACAAAAAAGTAGAACTAAAATAACAACTCTTTTGTTTATCTGAAATGGCCATAGTATTAATACTTTAAAAAAAACATATTATTATAGTTAAGTCTTAAATATGAAGCTTAAAGTATACCAAAAGAAAAAAAATTATTGCAAGTGTATTTTTAAGAAAAATATCTCCACATTTTAGGTTGCTTTTGTTATGTTTCTATTTTTCAAAAATAATGTTTAGCTGTTTTTCTAAGAAATAAATTAAAGTTCTTATAAAAGCTGTCGTTTAATTTTCTGGAAGCAGACATTTTTTAATCATTCTTTTACATTTATCTTACAAAATACCTTTGCATTTCATTCCTTAAGTACTTTTTTAAGAAAAGTGTTTTCATTTTGGTGTTTTTAATTAAAACTCCAATTTGAGTCTCAGAATTGGAAAGAAATGATGATATGCCGGACACAAAAACGGGGTCTCATTGAATTCTAGAAATTAGAACTAGGATAATACACTTTTAATCTCAACATTCCTACACGTATAATTCAAAATGATAACGAGTCTCGCAGAATAATTTAACACAATCTAATCTTACAGACAAAAAACTATTTTAGTTTTATATTGAACAAGAGAAATACGGATTCTTTTAAAAGTAATTTAGGGATTAAACTGGAATTTTCAATACATTATCATTAAACTAGGCGAGCACACATTCTTTTTATCGTAAGTTTTTCATTTTCATTTTTTCAGTGTTATCGTTTTCTGACGATTTTATTTTAAATTAAAATTCTTAAGAATGAAATGGCGGAAAAGGAGTCAAAACTCTTTTTTCTTGTTAAAGAGTTAAGCTTTGTATTGTAAAATGATTTTTTTAATGCCGTTCAAAAATTTTGTTAATAATTTAATGAAAATAGTTTTCCAAAATTCAAATCAAGAAGCATTTAAAAAAAATAAAATTAAACATCGTACATTCAGTTAAAATATCAATTCAAAGGATGAACGCTGTCATTAATAATAATTAAGTAAAGTTAATTAATTTCGTTTTCAATCAATCTGTTTAGTTGATTTGGAATTGTTTTACACGTCATATTTAAGCTAAACTAACTAGCAATTGGTGATTAATAAAAAAAGTAATAACACCACTTTATTCACGCACTGCACTGCTATAATTTTTATTAAAGGGAAATAGTAGAAGTAAACCCCGATCTCTGCACCATGCTTCCTATCTACCCAGCCACACGTTAACATTTCTAGCTCTGGAGCCATTAAAGACATTGCATTAGAGTTCCTTCCAAACCACTATGAAACAATCAATGAAAATGCAGTCCAATCAGAGACTTAGTCTTTAGCAAGAGGATATGAACCCCAGATAACGCTATAATAGGAAAATACTAAGCCAACAGACTGATTGGGAGACTCTTTCTCTCATATTAAAAGATAACCATTTATACAGTTTATATAAAGAAATTCTTCAAATTCAGTTCCTGTTAGTTTTTGCAGGTTTGATTATTGCGCATCGATTCAACTTTTCAAAAAATAAAATTATATGGGAGGTATCAGAATACACTGCAACTGTGATTTCTGAAACAATAATGAGCTAAACCTAACCTTAGTAATAATAAACCTAACCTTAGCTATTAATAAGCTGAACCTTATTAATGATAAACGTTTTATTCTTCTTTTTTTTAATGGCTGTCATTAGGGGTTTGTCCCATTGGCCACAGAAATGCCAGAACTGCTACTATCTTCTTGTTACCCAGTGGGCACCTGTGACGAAGCCACGTCAGTGGAGCAGCGTCACCCACGTCACACAACCACAAACCCGTTTATAGGGCGGGTCACATTCACATATTCACGCAAAGGAGAAAGGACATAGAACACAGAGAGAGAAAGAAACACCCATGCCCTGAGAAGGATTCGAACCCGCGGCCAATGGCTCCGTAGTCCGACACAATAACCACTCGCCCACCCGGTCGGCATTAATGATAAATGCAAAAATCTAAAATTTAATTTTATGATATCCTGGTTTAATTTAAACGGAATATGTACTTAATTTAGCATCTTATTAAGTTTACAGGAATTTTTCACTATAATAAAATTTAAAACACCTATTTTTTCATGACATACTTGGTCTAATGTTACTACAAAAGGTCTAATGTTACTGCAAGAAGATCATATTACTTTTGGATAGTGCTAATTACAAAAGGTCAAAAGATGTGTAATATAGTGTTACAAAGGAGAATAGCAACAGATTACAACATAACAAATAGCAACACATTCAAAGTAAAGAATTGAATCCATATTATTCTAGTACTATACATAACTTTGTGACTCATTCAAACTAATTTTTTTTTTATTCAGATACCGATACATTATTCTAGTATTAAAAAAAATATATATATATATATATATATATAAATTTTAAGAAAAAAAGCTAGAAGCGTCAAGCACCATCATAACACCTTGTACATTTATGGAACATTATTCAATTATACAAAAAAGAAAAGTGTTTCTTGAATAAACACATTTCTTGAAAAAAAATCTTCATCTTTTAAAATAAATTAAGATTCAAAAGTGTCTTTTTTTCGAATTTGTGACATTTTTTAAGGAAACGAAACTATTGTTATAAAAATTGTCGCATCCATGATCCGAAGAAAAGTATTTTAGTAATAAATACTAGTAACATTTTTGTAATGGTTAAGCTGAACTGTTTTTCTTTTTCTTTAAACATTTTGAGTTATAAACGCTGAGTTTCTTCATTTTTCAAGAGCTTTATTGCGTTTTTCATTATAAATTAAATAAAGATGTCACAGTGTTTATTTCACCATAATTATATTTTTCTCAGAAATCGATATTTAATGTACAACTTTTAAGAAACTATTCCGACTATTTTTTTTACATTCTTTATAACAATTTTTTTCGCATTTTCTTTTAAATTGTTGTACTTGCATTGTTTAATTTTTTCCAGCTTAATATTAATTATATACATTCAAAAAAAGTCAGTACGTAACCTATCACAAAGCTTAAAATTTGTTTTAATTGAAAAAAAAAATTAAGGTTGTTTTTATTTTTTGACGATGAAAAAAAATTCTAGATCAGTTGTCCGGTTATTAAGGTACACCCTTTGAAAAAACTATTTCACTGCATTTTATTTTAAATTGATGTAAATATATTGCTTAATTTGTCCGGGTTAATAACAATAATACACATTCAAAATACATAAAGTCAGTACATAATCTATGATAAAGTTTAAAATTTGTTTTAATTGAAAAAAGTAAATAAAGTTGCTTTTATTTTTTTGTTGAAATTCAGGTTAGGCTGTAAATTAAAATCATTAAGAATATAAATTTTTCAGAAGTATTTCGACCAAATTAAAGTCTAAAAAATTATTTAGATAAATTTTACAAAAAAAAATATTCAAACTAGCTGGAAACAATTAAATAAACGTTAGAAACTAAGTAATTTAAAAGAAAGATTAAACACTAACTGAGTGCGACAGAAAAATTTATTTTATCCTTATGGTATCTGACCGAAAAATAAACTCCCGAAAACGATACTAATTTATTTTTGCTCTGCTTTGAGTATCCTAGCCTTTTTTTTTATTCGAATAAATTACATTTTTAAGACAAATAAAATTCTTTTTCCGAAGTTAATTTTAAATTTATATTCAACTTTAAATTTATAATTTTAGGTACCCTGCTTACCAATTTTAAAATCTAAAATTCTAATTGAAATTTCTTTAAGAAATGTGTCGAAACCAGTCGGATACTTTTAAGATCTTATTTATCTTATAAAAAGCTTATAAAATACATATTAGTTACTTTAAATAATTTGAATACTAGAAAATAGCTATTTATAAACCATTATTCTATAATTTTCAATAGTCTGGAAAAGATAACGGTTTAATCCATTATTTTCATGCCAACTCACCAGCTCTGACATGAACATCTCTGCTGCCAATTACGCCAAATTTATTGGATGCTTCGCATCTATATATGGAAGCATGGACGTCTGCTCTATAGTTTTCACCTGAAAATGGACTTAAAACAAGGGAACCATCATGACGAGTGTATCTTAGACCGGGAACATCTTGTAAAATTTCTCCATCGTGCTTGACCCATCTGATTAGCGGAATTGGTTGCCCACTTGCACTGCAAGGTATCACCGTGCCACTCGAATTGGAAAAGTCGACACGGCTTTGGGGTTCCTGTTTAAATTTTGGAGCTTGGTGTTGGAAATCCATACATAAACCTAAAATAAACAAAGTTTCATCGCTTTTAACATCATATATTATTATTAATAGACTTATCAATGCTTAGTACACATTAGTACAATCCATAAATTCAATTAGTACAATTTTTATCAAATTAACCTTTGGAAAAACACTTGACATTTGCTGGTAATAAATTTTACAATTGTTTCAAGGATCCCAACTTAAGTATGCTAATGCATAAGTATGTAAAATAAAATGTCAAGATTGTAGTTATATGAAATGAGAAATGTGAGAGTTTATATTTGCCGTATTTTTGAATATATTTGTGAGGAAGAAAGAAAAAAATCTAATATTTCTTAAAAAGAAAGAAAAGAGAACTAAGCTAAAATTACAGCACTGAATGTTAATGACACTTCGAGTTAAAAGAAAAATATTAAAAAAAATCCAAGTTAATGAAATCAAAATATAAGGTATTTAAACCATTCTTTTTGTAATTTCCTCATTCATAACGATTTACCCAAAATTCTAGTTTTCACCGTTTCTACAGTTCTTATTGCCACACATTTAGAAAAAAATAAAGAAACTGCTGAATAAATTTAACAGAATAAATGATTTTCATACCAGACTAAGTCATCATGAAAAAATTACAAAAGTTTACAGCACTAGACAAATTTTATCAATCAAAATATCACCATATTTTATTGTTAACATTACTAAACTCACTACCAAAGCTCATCGGCGAAAACTACCTTGCTTTTTTGTGTTCCCATATTGTGGTAGTTTTGACCAAATTTTTTTCTTTGAATGTTCAGCGTTTCTTATCCATAAATAATATTATTAAGATTTTACGTATGCTTATTTTAAACTGATAAAATTTTTTTCAAACAATTCAAACACTTTAAAAAAATTTTTTATGGAAAATTAGATTCTATATTAATTACTGAAATAATAAAATATATTAAATTCTAAATTGACAAAACTATCTTTATAACTATCTTGACTATCTTGAATTAACAAAACTATCTTTGAATTATCTTTGTTCTATATTAAAATCATACATCATGATTTTTTTCATAATCATCAAAATCTTTTTGCTTTAAAAGCAGCCGATCGAAAAATTTTTTTTTTTCAGTTTTTATAAAATATATAAAAAAAAATTAGATTGCAGTTAGGGAAATCGTATTAAGATTTTTGGTATTAAGGTATAATTGTATTAGGGTATAATTTTAATAAGATCAAATTGTCTTAAGCTCTAAATTTTTGAAATAAAATTTTTTTATAAATGCTATTATTAAATTCTTTTTTTTCTCGGAACCATTTAGTCTATTTTGATTTACAAATAATAAATATTATCAATATAAAAATAACAATAAAATACAACGTTTTAGAATTTTGGGAATGTATATTCCAGATTGCAAGTACGAACGTTGCCTTTTTCAATAAGTTTTTAATCTGTAAACTATAGTATTATGTATCATAGTTATTAGTTTAATACCCTGTCTCCATTTGAGTTAAAAATGATTAAGCATGAATAACTTTTAGAGTTTACTGCAATGTGCCATCAATGTACATTTTACTTTATAGGGAGAAGAGTGCATCTTTGCACATTTTAAAGTTTATATTAAGATAACAGTATTTAGATAGAATAAAGGGAATTGAGTTGTTCATATATTGCTATGATTTTAGCTATTACTAAGCAACTTAAACATTTTTTGTTTTTTTTTTCGTTTGAGTCTAAAAAGTATAAAAATAAAGTAGTTCGATGCTTATACAAAAAAATAATTATCCATTACTTTTGATTGAATGTTTGTCAGATATTTAATTAAAAGTTATAGTTTTCAAATATTATTCACAACTTAGCGAAATAATCCCCTATAATAGATTTGTTTTTGATAAAAATTAAAGTAGAAATAAAATGAGGTACATCTGAAAAAAAAAGAAAATGTGACAATTTGTTTGAATGTAAAGTGAGCAATACATCAGAAAATATCTAATTAAAGATTTGATTCTAATTTTTATTACATTTTTAATTTGAAACTAATAAAGTAAAGTTGCTTTAGCTAACTGGTTTTTATAAGCGTTAATCTATTATTCAATTACATATAAATTGCATTTTCATTTACTTATTAATGAATGTATTTACAGATTTTTTTAAAGAAAATGAACCCAATATTTATATTTAAAAATAAAATAAATACTAAAAACTAGCATAAACTTTACTACAGGTAATTAAAAGAAACCCTGGTTTGACCTTATATAAGAATATTAGTAAAGAAAGACGTGAACACTTATGATAAAAGTTATGATTGACCCCAGATACGTTGAATAACATGCGGGTCACTAGTTGTTTCTCGCGCAAGTCAAGCATAATGATAAATGGAAATAAGATAATAGAATAAATGAAAACTATATAAATTTTTCCTAAAAAGGATACTAATAAAATGATGTTTAAGTAACACAGCCAAAAAGAAAGCCTACTTCAAGCTATATATATTATATATCATTAACTGAGAGTGAAATATATTTCTACATTTTTCATACATATATGGATTTCTTCACAAACAAATTATAATTTCTTGTCTAAATTGCTTTAGGATAGGCACCTGCGCAACCATTTTGCATTTATGAAATATTTGTCACTTTTTACCCTCACATGAGTACTATATTAAATTATTTTCTTTAACAGAAATATCCTGTTAAATATTTAGGAAAATCTACAGTCAGATCAAAAATATGAACATAAAAATGCCTAAACCGAAATAAGCTATCAGTTTGAAAGTAATATCTGCAAGGATTTTTGAAATCGTTATATTCTTCTATTCCAAAAATACAAATATTTTCGTAAAAATTGTTTAGAAAATTGTTTTTAAATCCTTTTTCCATTCAAATTTTAAATCTCGAACAAAAGATGAATTCAAATTCATTTTTTCATACGTCTTAAAATAAGAAACGCGAGATAAAATATTGAATTTTACGATAAGATAAAGGAATGGAAACACGGTTTTCTTTCAATATATGAGCAAACCGCTTTGCTAAGTACTCGTATGCAAACCATTAAATTTATGGAACAAAAACAAACGCCTTTAGCTTTATGAAATATTTAATACACGCATCGGTGGAATCAGAATAAAATCTGATGCTCTTATGCTTATCGAATAAAGTTAACGAAAAAAATTAATTTTAATATTTATCATACATTTCTTACCATCTCCCGATTTCATAAAATNATTTAATACACGCATCGGTGGAATCAGAATAAAATCTGATGCTCTTATGCTTATCGCATCAAGTTAACGAAAAAAATTAATTTTAATATTTATCATACATTTCTTACCATCTCCCGATTTCATAAAATCATTATTATACTAATGACTATACGTATACTAGTAGTTATTAGTATTTTATATATTTGTTAAGAAAATTTAGTATATTAGTTTTATTGAAAACAATATGAAATCGTTTTAATAATTTAACACTAGAGCTACCGGAGTGATCTTATTTGACTTTCGTGACTTTTAATAAATTTTTGAGATTTTCAAAAGCATTAAAGAAAATCTTTACTAGAGTATATAATTGGTTTAGAAAATTCCAATTCACCTGGATTGACCATTGCTGTAAAAATGACAGTTATAGAGATTGGAGTGCATTGCTTGAATTAGGCAACCAGTTGTTAAAAGACGGTTATAAAATAAAAAGAATTAAAATTTCTCCTTCATTGCGTATCTTTATTGCATTCGAGCAAGAACATGACTAGGTCAACACTGTAAGATTTTTTTAACAAAAGAAATCCTCTTCCTGCTCGTTGCTTCTCTCCAAGTATCAATTGCTTTTATTCAGATTGATTTTAGATATGAGCTCGCAAACGGCTTAGAAATAAATAATTAACCTCTGAAATAAGGAAAATATTTTGTGAAAAAATTTTAATTTGCATTTTATAGCAAGGAAAACTGGAAAAAAAAGTTAGCAGATCATGCCATTAAATTTATTCAGTACTTGTAAAAAAAGACTATGAAATTTGGATTAAACTTCTGGTTCATTGCTAAACTTTTTATCAACTATTTTTTTGATCAGTTTTATATTTCTAGGATAAGACAAGGACAGAATTTGCCTTTTGAACATTCCATCACCTTTCTTTGTAGGAAATAAATTTCCCAACGGATTTTTTTTTGTCTTTAAAACTTGTTTACTCTTTATGGGCAAAAAAAGATTTCAATAGTTGTTACATTACTGCTAAATTATAGAAAAATTAACCCAATAAGCAATCTTTCCTCAAGTTCACATTTTTTTCTTAATATTTTAGCACGTGATAAAAAGAAAACTATTATTATACATCGATAAAAACTGAAAATAAATTTCTACATCTCGAGTACTATACATAACTGTGGAAGTTTTAATAAAGTTCACAATTCAAAAAATCTCCTTGAAAATGTCAATTTTTTTCAACGAGTCAGTTTTTTTAGCTCCATCATATATGATGATTGAAAACAACACGAATGATTTCTAAAATATGACCAATTTTAGTTTTGACAACTATACTTTTTCTAAGTTTGAAAATGTTCCTGATTTTTTTTAAATAGTGTAACTCTTCATACATTTCTTGATAATGCTATATTTTCAGCTTTGCCAACGAAATGTGACTGCTATAAAGAAACTATCCACCCCACCCACCACCATTATTTCTTGAACTACAAGTAAAAAACGCTGTCACAAAACAAGACTGTTCATCATGCCTAAGACTTTTTTCGTGGAATATGCTTGAATCTTCACTAGTAACTTTATTTCAAATCATGCGTTAATGTCCACAATAGTACGTAACTATTTTAATATGTTATTATTTTTCCCTAAAATGGAATAACTTTTTATATATTATAAATAATACCATTAAGCATACTGCATAGTATTACAATTATCAAAAATAAACTTTTCCTAGCTATTTATAATGATATTTGAATTGATACTCAAATATTTGTGTTCATTTTTACTGCTGTCAAAATGACCACAATAGTCGTTCTAAATCATGTCGTTCTAGTGTTAAATA